CATCCACAAAAAATAAATGTATGGTGCGGAATAATAGATGGCTATTTAATAGGGCCGTTTTTTTTGAAGAATATTTGAACGCTCAAAGGTATGAGAGATTACTTGTTGATCAAATAATTCCAGCCATACAGAATACTTTTCCAAATAATTTCCAAGAAATATGGTTTCAGCATGATGGAGCTCCTGCTCATTTTGGTGCAGGACCACGTCGTATTTTAAATGAGACTTTTCCGCTACGGTGGATAGGAAGAAGGAACGGAAATGAGGGAGGAGAGGATTGGCCACCTCGGTCACCAGATCTAACTCCTCTTGATTATTATCTATGGGGATATCTGAAGAGTAAGGTTTACAGAACAAAACCTAAAACCATTCACGAATTGATACAGCGAATAAGGGATGAAATGGCTTTGATACCTTTTGAAACGAATCGTAAAGTCATTTCTACATTCTACCAAAGATTAGCATATTGTCAGGAAGTAAATGGCAGCCACTTTCAGCATTTACTTTAACACATTGAAACACATTTGCAATCGTTTGGTGCAACCTAACCTGATCTCTGTATACACGCACCGCACGCACGCACACGCACACATTTCGAACAATTATTATGATAAATGAGCATCCACAAATTTATTTACTGTTTACTATGTCGATTGCTTTCCAGGTCTTTAAATGCTCGATTGTAATTTGGTTGGGTCTTTGCTTTTGCTGACTGGATCCACGACCGATCTTGCCTTAGTTAGCTGGATCACACACACAACAGATGCAAATCCGAGCGAGTAACCTCCATGTAGTACACCTTGGATAATGTTAATACCGGCGCTACTCTATCATTCAACCCTCATAACTCGCAAAGTACTTAATAAAAATGAACATTATTATAGTGTTTTGGAAAGCTCTTGAATTAAGCTATAAGAATATGCAATCAAATGTAGGGGGTGTCATTTAAAAAAGTCAATGTGACCTTGACCTGACCTTGACGACGCCATCCAAGGTCAAACTGATAGAATCAGTATATAGATCTTCTTAAACCCTACAACTTTTGTTGGAAACACTTTTCTGTAAAACGTATATTTTCCGAGATATTTAGGGGTTTCCACACTTTTGGTAGACCCTGTATACAGGGTGTCCATCGATTTTCGACCTTAATGAAATAAATAAGTAGATTGGCTCGAATTAAGAAGGAATGACCTGTATTGTTTTAGGATTGTCGCAATAATTAACGAAATATTAAATAAAAAAGATCGGCCAATCTGCATGAGTAAAAGCGCGCGGCAACGAGAGTCGTCCCACCGTAATCTGATACTACGAGCGCGGCGAAGCGGTGGGCGGGTCGCTCTCCGAGACGTGACGGTTTGCGATATATCGCAATACCGCGCCGAAAAATGATCCGTCCCCCCTTTTCGTGGCGAGAAAATGATGCCCTATCATTTCCACACCCCCTTGCGGTAGATAGCATGGTGCGCTTTTTTTATAGTGGTTTCCCTCGTAGGCCTATTCCACTCTCAATTTAAAAATTATTCAAAATTTACTATTTGCTGAATATATCGTAAATGTAAAAAATTAATGGACAGTACCTTTACAAAAATTGATTCGTGGTTGAAAATCCCTCGATAAAATGTATTGCGCACATTGATAATGTGATACGATGATAAAATTCTTCAAGAATCCTTTCTTCATCTCGCACACGAAGACGCACTGCTGGAGCGGTTATCCCGATATTATGCACGACACTCAGTTTCACATAATTATTGCACAACACGTAAAATTGTACGTCCACTTGGTTTTCGTGCACGCCCGAGAAATGATTCCATGTAAATTGCGGCCGCACGATAAGTATTTTCTCCCGCTAGCCCGTATGCCACAATCATGTCCGTATATTCCTGCGGAGTATACTTCATTTTCACTAGTAATTAACTGCGCGATCATAAGATTTTTACTAAGCGTCTTAGCTCTCGCACGTTGTTTCCAGACTGCGTACGCCAGCAGCACGCAACTATAGCTGAGCGGCCATGTGAGTGTAATTATAGTGCGCAGGCGTCGAACTCACACGTACGCTTACACTCACATGTCCGCTAAGATGTCAGCTGTAGTTGCGTGCTGCTGGCGTACGCAATCTGAGGCGCGTTTTCGTTGCTGCTACCTCGCTACAAGCGGTTGGCTCGTGTTTGATGATATGACGTCACAAACAGTAACCGAGAATAAAAACGTTTCGAGCAGGCAATGCGTAAACGCGTTAGCACATTAGCAGTTTGTTGCTTCACGTATCATAATCAAAATGGATCCAAATCTGAGGTTATCTGTATTATTGTATTGTATAATGGAAGTAATTGATGATGATTCATCAAACATTGTGAATATTTATCAATTGCAACCTACAAGCAGGGTTGTCCTTTCCCTTTTGAAAAATAGAAGAACTCATTTCAAAATAGGAATATTTTCTAATGAAGAGTGGGTGACCCGTTACATTGATCAAGATTTTCATAAACAATTTAGGTAAGGAAGCATAAAGTAACTTAGTTGCTACATTTCTTATTTATCATGTTGTCAATGTTATTTTTTTTGACATTCATTGACTTCTTAAGTAGATTGTTAAGTGGATTCCCTGTCCAAATTTGTCTCTTGCTTGTACAGGATGATGAAAAGCACATATTCGGCCCTTGTCGACACAGTCCGACCTTACTACCCTGTTAAGTGCCAAAGAGGTGATGCACCTGTAATGACAGTTGAGAAAGCTGTCTTGATGACATTGTGTTATCTGGGGAAGCATGTACCTTTGTCTGATATAGGCGATCGATTTGCTGTGGCTCAAAGCACAGTTTTCAAGGAGGCTAGAACTATTATTCAGATATTATGTGATCTTAGCAATACATTTATTGTTTGGCCTAAAGAGAGCGAGTGTGTAGTGCTGAGCAGGCAATTTGAGGCACGTGCGGGATTTCCTGGTGAGCATTCTGTATAGCTTGGCTGTCACTTTTAAACTTTTTTTTAAGACAATGCCTCTCATGCAGGAACTTTGTCATATAGGTACAATTTCATTGACGCTAAAAAGTAACGTCAACCATTGGTTGAACAAAGAAGCAACTACTTGCTTCTTTGTTCAACCAATGGTTGACGTTACTTTATCGCGTCAATGAAATTGCACCTTATCTTATTGTCTTTTGTCAGGTGTCATAGGAGCCATCGATGGTTGCCACATTGAAGTCCTCCAACAAACCAGCAATCTAGTTACATAGATCGCACGTGCAACTATTCTATTAGGTGGGATTTTATGATTAAGCAAAACAGTATATTTTTACCGTTAATATCATAACTCTCTCATGATAAGATTAACTTTTTATTTTGTAGAAATTTGTACTGCAACAAAAATATTTACAAATGTATCTATTGGAACACCTGGTTCTTGTAATGATGCTCGGGTTCTAAAATACTCCAGCGTCTACCGGACGATAATGCGAGATGGAGTAGAATCCATGTTCTTTAATGAGAATTATCATTTGATAGGTGATAAGGCCTACCCTAACAGAATATGGTGCATGGCACCTTTCAAGTAAGTTGCAATTTTTTTGCATTTAAATATATGATGTTATGTTCCGTCATGTGAACAGCATCTTAATGCTGCCTTTCTTTGAACAGGGATTTTGGAAACCTTACTCCAAGACAGAAAACGTACAACTATCATCACAGTTCAACCCGTATTGTAATAGAGCACACGTTTAGTCTTATGAAGGGCAGATGGAAGCACTTAATGAAAGTTAACACAGAGATTGCCAAAGTTAGTGACATTGTACTGGCCATCTGCGTTTTGCACAATTTTTGTTATCTACACAACGATGAAGTGATTCAGAAAATGATTGGAGATAAAAGACACATGGCTAAGCAACATGTTCTCAAGAATTATGCAGACGAAGCCAGCAAAATACAAGGCGCAGAAAAACGCAACAGAATTGTATGCCTGTTCTGATTCTCTTTTAGAAAGATTTCTTTTATTGATAAATAAATGAAAAGAACTAAGTATCTGAAATAAAACAATTCAACAAATATTGTCTTTGACATTTATTTCTCATTTATATCTCAAAGTACATATTTGTAAAATCAAATGTTATTTCGACAGAACTACACTAAATAATATATATAGAAAATATGAAAAAAAAATAACATTGTCTTATACATATTTGATAACAAAGATAGAAACTCAAAATAAAAAGGTATTCAGATATAGCAAATTCGGCACTTTGCCGAAATAATTAACGAATATTAACGTAAATAAAACTAAACGATATATTATATAAATCTAGACTTTCTGCAGTTTCTCACACTGTGAAATGATTAAGGCACTTTGGCAATGACAAGTAAGTACATAATATCATACTGGAACTTTTCTGTAATATCCCTTAACTTAAAGTAAATAAGTATAAATAAAATAGTAATAGATATAGTAGTAGATATAATAATTTAACTTAAAGTAAAATAATATAATACTTTGGCATTTCAGCATAAGTACATGAAAGGTGAGGTAGTCATGTTTAAATGGAATAATAACACTAGTGCTAAGTAATCCTCTGTACTAACATAAATTATAAAAAGAGACATCCCAAGTAAAAAAATTTATAAAAAATGTTTTAAACTCATTTTCAAAGATATCTTAAAAACGTTAAAATAATTAGTTAAATTACTTTTTATTCATTAAAACGTTTATTTTAATGTTTAATGTAATATAAATATTTATTTAACGTGTATTAAATATTTATTTTATTAATATTTCATTAATAAAATAAATATTTTTTATTTACTTATAAATAAAAAATTATAAATAAAAACCTATATAAATATTTTTTTTTACTTGGGATATTCTCATGGAAAGATAACCTAAAACAAAAATATAACAATTATTGATCACATATAGAAGAAATCACATATTTAATGCTTGTGTTAATCAATGACATATGAAAATTATAAGGAAAGAGTACCTGTGTTAGCTGCCTACTTGTAAATCACAATTTTAATTAGCTTAAATTTTATTTGAGCTTGTGGTTGAGCTCATCATCTTGGTAATTATACTAAGGAAAACCTTTTTAGTATCATTGGAATCTTGCATCAGTTTCATCAAACTTTCATTTTGCTTGCGACGTTCCTCAGCTTCATTTTTCAGAAAATTTAGGATGCAGCTGTTGTCAACTCTAGGTTTCTTTGGTTTGGTGGATGATTTCACATGATTGAATGGACTTTCATTGAGGTCGTCTTCATCTGATAATGCATTTTCAGATTCACAAACCATTGCATTGGTAGCTGATTGTCTTGCAGAATTTGTAGCATTCGAAGTCGTGGCTGGTTGCTCTTTGGAGGTAGTGGGTGTAGGTGACGCCTGTTCAGAAAGAGGCCATGAGTCAAGCAAACGTTTTGGTTTTGCTTTGTGTTTCCCTTTAATGATGTCAAATACCTCATCATAAAATGCTGGTTTTTTCACTTTTCCATTACCAGAATTACCAGCACCAGCATTTTGTAAAAAGTTCATCACAGCACTTTCAAGGTTGCGCCACTTCTGTGAGCAAACAGATCCTTCATCCCTTATTCCAAAATTGTATTTTTCTTTGAGTTCTGCACCAATTTTCTCCCAAATCTTTTTCTTCACAGTTTTCTTATCATTCAGTATCATTTGAATGTCCTTACGTCCAACAATTTCAATCAGGTCATGTGTGGCTGTGATATCCAGTGGTGATGGTTTATTATTTTTGACCCAAATCTCTTCGTTGCTTCTGGTTTCACTCGACAGAGGTGAGATGACACGTGTTTCAGAGCTTCCGCTAGAGAAATTCTCTATGACATTGGAGTCCTCCGTCATCGTAAAAAACTCACAGGAATTAGCAGATTTAAATTTTTTAATTACATGATCATCTACAGGAAGAGAGATAAATGATCCACCTGAGAAAAAAAAATAGAAACAGGTCACAAAGATGCATTAAATAGATTCAAGAAGTACCAGTATTTCATTCAGAAAAAGATTAAAACGTCTAATTAAAACAAAATTGGACCTATTATATTAATAGAATTAGCTCTCAGCTATACAAAATTCCATTTCGAAACATTGATTAAAATGACACAAAAACGTAGATATGTTTCGAAAGATAAATTTAATTGATTAACATAACCCTTATAGAATTCATAATGCAGGTATACTTACTTGAAACATGATGGAAGAACATTTGGCCATCAACAGAATGCACGCCACCATCAGCACGCACTAGGAGGAGGTGTTCGTTCAAGGTGAGTACGGTTACGTTATTCATTTTTGTTTTTCGACAACAAGCATTGTCTTTTCGCGCCAAACAACCTACCACAACCGCACTATCAACCTCAGGCGCGTTTTCGTTTCGCTATCACGAGCGACCAGAGGCAAACAAGACCGTTTTCGTTTCTGGTTGTGACGTCATCGATGCAATCACGTGAGCCGTGGTAGCTGCTACCGCGCTGCCATGGTCTCGAGGATGATAGTGCGGTTGTGGTAGGTTGTTTGGCGCGAAGTGCGAAAAGAGAATGAATGTAACGGGTCACCCACTCTTCATTAGCAATTATTCCTATTTTGAAATGAGATATTCTATCCTTCAAAAAGAAAAGGACAACCCTGTTTGTAGGTTGTAATTGATAAATATTCACAATGTGTGATAAATCGTCATCAATCACTTCCATTATACAAAATAACACAGATAACCTCACATTTGGATCCATCATGATCATGACACATGAAGCAAACCGCTAACGCGTTTGTGCATTGCCTGCTCGAAACGTTTTTATTCTCGATTACTATTTGTGACGTCATATTATCAAACACGAACCAACCGCTTGTAGCGAGGTAGCAGCAACGAAAACGCGCCTCTCGAGAGCATGGCAGCGCGGTAGCAGCTACCACGGCTCACGTGATTGCATCGATGACGTCACAACCAGAAACGAAAACGGTCTTGTTTGCCTCTGGTTGCTCATGGTAGCGAAACGAAAACGCGCCTTCTGGTAACAGCGTGCGAGAGCTAAGACGCTTAGTAAAAATCTTATGTTCGCGCAGTTAACTACTAGTGAAAATGAAGTATACTCCGCAGGAATATACGGACATGATTGTGGCATACGGGCTAGCGGGAGAAAATACTTATCGTGCGGCTGCAATTTACATGGAATCATTTCTCGGGCGTGCACGAAAACCAAGTGGCCGTACAATTTTACGTGTTGTGCAATAATTATGTGAAACTGAGTGTCGTGCATAATATCGGGATAACCGCTCCAGCAGTGCGTCTTCGTGTGCGAGATGAAGAAAGGATTCTTGAAGAATTTTATCATCGTATCACATTATCAACAATAGTGCACATCACAGTGTGCAATACATTTTATCGAGGGATTTTCAACCACGAATCAATTTTTGTAAAGGTACTGTCCATTAATTTTTTACATTTACGATATATTCAGCGTATAGTAAATGGCATTTTGAATAATTTTTTAAATTGAGAGTGGAATAGGCCTATGGGGGAAACCACTATAAAAAAAGCGCACCATGCTATCTACTGCAAGGTGGTGTGGAAATGATAGGGCATCATTTTCTCGCCACGAAAAGGGGGGACGGGTCATTTTTCGGCGCGGTATTGCGATATATCGCAAACCACCATCACGTCTCGGAGAGCGACCCGCCCACCGCTTCGCCGCGCTCGTAGTATCAGATTACGATGGGACGACTCTCGTTGCCGCGCGCTTTTACTCACGCAGATTGGCCGATCTTTTTTATTTAATATTTCGTTAATTATTGCGACAATCCCAAAACAATACAGGTCATTTCTTCTTAATTCGAGCCAATCTACTTATTTATTTCATTAAGGTCGAAAATCGACGGACACCCTGTATATCAAATATATATCAAGTATATCAAGTATATACGTACGTATGTATGTAAAGAAAAAGAGATAGGGAGAGAGAGAATAAAATAGAAATAGAAACAGTAAGGCATAAAAAAGAAAGAGAGAGAATTTTAAGAAAGAGAAGAGAGATAATAGAAAATAAAATAATAAATGAGAAAAAGGTAGAGAGAGATTGAGAAATTAGAAAAAAAAGAAAAATATTGAAAATATTAAATATATAATAAATATTATTAATGTTTTTATTTTTTCTTCAGAGTTAAAGAAACGAATATTAAAATACAGAGAAAAAGAAAGAGAAAAAAGGAAAAAAGATTCATGAAAGAAGTAGGTTAAGAAAGAGAAAAGACACAGAAGAGAAAAAGAAGAAAAAGAAACAAATAGAAAAATGTGCGTATTTATATGTTTAGATATGTATATGTGTAGTACGCGTTAATAATTTGTTCCGTTTCTCTAGCAAAGATTGATAATCTATTCTTTGTTAATCCATAGGATTCTTATACATTAATAAAGGATAGATATTACCAATCCTCGTTAGGGAAACGGAACGAATCATTGACGCGTACTATATATGTCTATGTTTATATATATATGTTTATATATATGGGTGTGTGTGTATAATTTTTTATAAATATATGTATAAAATTCATTGAAAGACAGAGAAAGACAGAGAAAGAAAGAGAGAGAGAGAGAGAGAGAGAGAGAGAGATAGAAAATAAGATAATAAAAAAAAGAGAGAAGGAGAAATTAAGAGATTGAAAAAAGAAAGAAAAAGAATTAAATATAAAATATATTGAAAATGCATTTTTAATGTTATTGCTTTTTATTTATAGTTGAAGAAGTTGAATATTAAATATTGTTATTAAATATTATATGTATACTTTTTATTTAGAGTTAAAGAAGCCTAAATAAAAACAAAAGAAAAAGAATAGAGAAAGAGAAAGAAAAAGAAGGAAAAGAAAAGATATTGTAAATGTTTTTACTTTTTATTTATAGAAGATATTTATTTAAAGAAGTCTAAAAAAAGAAAAAGGAAAAAAAAGAGATAGAAAGAGAAAAAGAAGGAAAAAAATTCCTGAAAGAAGAAGATTGAAAAAGAAAGATTGATAAAGGCAGATTAAGAAAGAGAAAGAGAAAAAAGACAGAAGAGAAAAAGAAGAAAGAGAAATAAAGAGAAATATACGTATTTATATTTAGATACGTACGAGTATATGTACAGTACGCGTTAATAATTCGTTCCGTTTCTCGAGCAAAGGTTTAGAATATCTATCTTTTGCTAATCCATAGAATTCTTATACATTAGTAAAGAATAAATATTACTTTTTATTTAAAGTAAAAGAAGCCTAAATAAAAAGAAAAGAAACAGAAGAGAGAAATAGAGAGAAAATGAAGAAAAAAAAGGATATTATAAATGTTTTTACTTTTATATTACAAACCTACGCTAGGAAAAAACGGAACGAATCATTAACGTGTACTATACATCTCTATGTTTATATTTGTATATATGTATGTGTGTATATAATTGTATATAAATGTATGTATGTATTAGAATCACATTGAGAGAGAAAGAGACAGACAGATAGAGAGAAAAAGAGAGATAGACAGACAGAGAAAGAGAAAGAGAGGATATAAATGACAGAATGTGAATGGTATAGAGAGATTGAGAGAAAAATAATGAAATGTTTGAAGAGAATGAAAAGGTAATAAAATAAGAAAAAAAGAGGGCAGAGAGAGAGAGAGAGAGAGAGAGAGAGAGAGAGAGAGAGAAGAATAAGATGTGGAAAACAAATTTAATTTTTTTAAGTGTATTTTTTATTTAAAAATTATATATGTTATAGAGAGTTAATAGAACTACAGGGTGTCTCTGAACGCAGTGCCAAAATTGATACAGCAACTTTAGGATATAAAAACCAATCGAAAATGTTAATAAACATATGTCCAATTTTGAATGGTTTAGAGTTATAATGTAATAAAATTTTTTTCTTAGGACAATATAAATTGAAATAAATGTTGTTTAATGTTATTTATTTTGTTTAAAACTTTACCAAAGATGATTAAAAATTAAAAAGCAACTTTATTACTTTGAAACTACAAAACCATTCGAGAATTCGGACACATATGTTTATTAACATTTTTGGCTTTAGGACATGAAAACAAGTGGGAAATGTTAATAAATATATGCCCGAATTTTCGAACGATTTTGAAGTTATAAGGTAGTAAAGTTGCTTTCTTAAAACAATATAAATTGAAATAAATGTTGTTTAAACAAAAATATATCTTATATGAATTTACTTGCATATCAAGATGTAATTATAATCATATGTATATATATTATAAATAATGTAACATTAGAATTATATATATATAAATTATTTGTATATATAAATATATATAATTATATATACATTTTTTTAATTATATGATAAAGTAGAAGGAAATAAATGGCGCGCGAGGAGCGCGCGCAATGTTGTGTACTAGTCGTTATAAAAATAATCTTGTATTGCAAAGAAAAAATTATGAGAAAAAATCATTTCAAAAAAAAAAGAAAAAAAAACGAAATTATTTTAGATGTTGATCATTAATTGATAAAACACATTCATATACACAAACAAGAAACAATGGTTCCTAAATATGTTATTGCGCTGCTAATGTGAAAAGTATCTCGAGTATTTATCATCGGCACCGCCAAAGAGCCTTCATACCGGAAGAGCTCATCATGCTTCTG